GCTCTTCCGGAAGTCCGTCTTCTCGTCGCGAGCACCGTCATCACACCGTTCCCGTGCGCGTTCCTTCCCCTGTCCCCGTCCCCCGTTAATCCGATCGCCTCGCTCCGACTTTCCGATGCTTCGTCCACTCCGCTCGCGCGCCGAGTGCCCTCGACGCGCGATCCTTTCGAGCGAACGTCCTCTTCTGGCGTTTCCTGTCGGCGTGCGCCTGCACTCGAGCGAATCGCGTCGACGACGATTAACCGATACCGTCCGGCTACCCTCTTTTCGCTTCCCTTCGGTCTTCCTCTTTTCCGATCCGTCCTCCGATCCGTCCTCCGATCCGTTTCCCGGACATCGATCGTCGATCACGCGTGCCTCGTTCGCAGTCTCGCGCGAATCACTGGGAGAGATTCTTACCGGCAGTTGGTGGGTGAGTGGTTGGACGAGGGAGCGGCGGCGGGGGACGACGTGACGTTCGTTATTCCTTTATTTCTTTATTTATTTATTTAATTATTTGTTTAATTAATTATTTAGTTAATTATTTATCGTTTACCCTCGCTTCCTTGCCCGCTTCCCCTCGATCGGTTCGTTCGATCGTCTCGTGTGCTGCTCGCGCCGCGACTCAAACGCTTCCACCTCCTTCCTCCCCCGTTCCCCTTGCTCGTATCGTTTTTAATAATCGTTTACTTGTTACCGTTTATATTTTTTCTTTATTTATTTGTTAGCATTTGTAGTGAACACTGGAGTCGGTGGTGTGGGGGTCTGTGAACGCGCGCGCGAGAGGATTTACCTATCCCGCGCCCTCCGTCCCCCCCCTGTTTATATATTTTTTTCTTATTAGCACGTAGGTCCCTACGCGGGGTGCGTGTGTGAACCGTGAACACCTTCGGAGAGCGGCTGCCTCCGTTTCCCTTCTCTTCCTTACACACTGTTCCAACTTTTCGCGTTCCCGTCGAAGCTGCCTTCGATCGCCCGCTTCTCGTCTTCCACCGTGAATCCTCCGCCTTCGCGGTTGCCTCTGTAACGCGTCGTTGTGTTCGTTCCCCTTCGTTCCTTGCTCCGCGTGTCCGTTCCTCGACACGTCCGGCGACGATCGACCCTGGTGGTTTCCTTCTCGCACGCTCGCGTCGCGATGGAAGAAATCACGTGGCACCCGTCGTTAGTCAGCCGATCCTTGGTCGTTCGGTTTTGTTCGCTTCGTTACTCTTGTGTTACTTGTCGCTCCTTCTTGCTCCGTTTCTCTCTTCGCTCTTGTCGTTTTCTCTCTTCCGTCGTTTGTCGTGTTTCTTCTTCTCTGACTCTCTATCTCGTTGACGTGTAATAATGGATTGGAAGCACCCCTCGTATTGACAGACTATGGACAGAATGCGCGTGGCCGCGCTCGCGCTCGCGCAGCCGCGTTCGATCCTCCAGCCAGCGCGCACGCGTACACGCGCTGTCGCTAGCGCTCGCAGCTAGCTAGCGCGACTACGACGACGTGTGAAGGAGGCCTACGTCAGGCACCGCAGGGAGCTGTGGCTGTTCTTCGACAACCGTCCCAGCACTGGCCACCACGCTGCCACCGTCTCCTTCACTGCAATCACACGGCACACGCTTTAGTCTTCCGGAGAGTCTCGTCGAATCGAAAATTACCAGTTTATCGTTCGCCGAATTATTCCTACGACTTGCTACTACGGTACCTAACGCACCAGGGGCTCGGAATAACAGTGCTCCAACCGCTCTTTACTAAATTTACTTTACAATTACCAATGGTAACCGTTAATATTATTATAATAACACCCTGATATCATTCCGAGCCACTGGCATTGCTATTTATTTATCGATCCTAGTAATTGATTCGATCTCCTGACAAACGATTGCACGGATCGTTTCAAAACCCGAATAAAATGCTAAAAGTAGAGTAGAGTTAAATTAGAATCAAGTGTACTAGGTGTTTTTCTGCTCGTGGTGTAACTGGACAGCAATAAATTTACATGGGAAAACAAATTCGAAATGTAGAATAGATTATTTGGACAGGAGACTTCGTTTACAAGATAATCGAGTTCGGAAGCTTGCGAGACACGTACGAGTCAGTATTTACGGGAAGTGGAAATGGCGAGCCATGGGCAGACACGTCCCTGATTCGTATTCGATGGCACGCGTGGCCTGTACATTTTTTAAACGCGATTATCTCGGAAACGAAACGTCCTATGGGAAAAATTCTATTTTATCTTGTCGATCGCATTGGTTATTTTCATGCAGCGTCGCGCGCTGTTGTTTAAACATCGATTTCGAAAGCACTCCACTTCGGAAATGCAGATTATACCGTTTATCTAGATTCACTATTCTACGCGATTCGTGTTATTAAATCCTACAATAATTCTCTAAATTCATAGGTACCTAGTAGTCAGACGTCAGTCTCGATGCTCATACAGGCTGGATTAATATTGTTATTATGGCGAGGGTTGCAGTTGGGCTTCTTTGTAATCTCGGGATGAGTGAGCAGTATGCTCTCTCCCAAATCCTTTATGTCCGACTCCGACTCCGACGTCGAGCTCTTCTTCATGTGTTGACCTGCGGAACAAACGACACGAGTTCGACACGTCTCAGCTGCCTCGCGCTTCGCGAAACTCAAAACGTACAGGTCGCCGGACAATGTGTTCGTTAAACTGTTAACGCGCCGATTGTTCCACTGATTCGCGATGCGAGCATCAGCATAATTAATAGGCTGCGGGTGCTCGCGCTTTTGACTCTACGGAACACAATCGACCCTACGTTACGATAGAATTTTCAACGAATTCCAAAAACAGCCAAACATCCTTAAATTAAAAATCAAAGCAGAAATAGTATATAATAGAACGGGCGATTTCCCATCCTCGTTTTCCAGCCGATTAAAATCTCATCGGCCGGAGTCCAGGGAGCTCAAACGTCGAAAACTTCTCGAGACCATCGATTTTATTCGATCCGAGTGGTCGTTGCCGTTAATTGACAGTCACCGTCGCCGCGTACCGGCCGAAGGATCCGCGAGAGTCCGGCAGCGCTCGGAGGCGTGAAAAATCGAACAGAGCCGGGCGTGTGCTCGCGGCTAAGCGGATTAGAGTGACGGTAAACTATTGTGTCAGCGGAGGCGCAGACACGCGATATCGGTACATACTCCAGCCGGGATTTCCCGGCGAGCCGACAACTTCGGAACGCAACCTCGCGCCGCGAGTACTCCCGGCGAACGTCGAGGACTACTGTCACGCGCAATCCTCTCTCTTCGCCGTTCTTATCGCGCGTCCCCTGATCGGTAACAGACGCTACGCTCCCCGGACGAATAATCCCGCGGCAGCTTTCGAACGGAATTGTTAGAAAAGCCTGGAGGCTCTCGTTTTCCGAGCGTGCCGCGAATACCAAACGAGCAAAGAGAAGTTTCTTTCGAAAGTTCTCTTTGAAATTGATCTAGTACCGATCGAATACCGGGTTTCTGAACCCTTTCGGAGTCGATCGATGGTGTCACGCCAGAGGCCTAATTAAAAGGAGGATAAATTCAATTTAGTTAGAATTTAAAAAAGAAAGAAAAAGAAGAATAAAATAACAGAGTTCCAAGATGAATCGAATGCCACGAATCGATACGAAACTGAAGAGAATTCCCGAAAATTGTATCATTTCCCATTTCTCGTACCTAAAGTGCCAGGGAGATACGGGCAGCTGGTCACGTGATTGAAGTTGTGCGACTGCATCTCTTCCTGGTCAGTCTCACGGTGATAGAAGTAGTTGAAGTTGGAGACGATGACGGGTACAGGCAGGGCGATCGTGAGCACACCGGCGATCGCGCACAAAGAGCCCACGATCTTCCCCCAGACTCCCACGGGCCTGTGCACAGAACGGAAAACGGTCGCTTTGATTCGCGGCCTGCCGTGCGGAGATTTGGGCGGTCGAATAGCTTCGTTCCTCGTCTAGAAACTCGGTGCTAGGTGTGGTGTTTCTATCTTGTGTGAGTTTGCCGTGTCGAGTCGAGTGTGGCGCTACTTAATGCGGTACTGGAGGCACCTACAGATACACACAGATTCACCGTGATCCTGTTCAGCGACTGAGATTGGCCGTCTTTCTTTCGAACCAGCTCGATCCTCATTTTTCCCATCTATGGACATTTCCATGTATTTACAATTCAGTTTGCGTATCACCAAATCGATCTCTTCGTTAATTCCTCGGAATTCGAAATTTTCAACTGACCGCTAATTCTCCCGTTAATCGAGGTGTCCTATAGTACTATAGTATTCGATAGATTTTAACGAAGCAGCGTACTCGGACAGTGGACGACATCCAACGAGCAAAACTTGAGAAATTAAGGAACTACGGTACTAGCTAAAGTTGTACTATAATCTAGATTCAAAGAAAACTTGGTAAAGTTTAAGAAACTGGTGGACATTTGAGTGGTATCCTTGCTACGATCGGTACTGTACATGTTTCAAATGGTTCGATTGAATTGTAACAGGGACAAACAGATTTGTTGGGCGTTCATTGGCTAATCTGCGAGCAATCTCAGTCACATGTGCCCCGGCACCGTGTGTACCTGTAGCGTATTCGCGTGTCTAAATAGAAGCGGGCTCTCTAGGCTAGACTAGGGGACTAAAGTGACTCTCTAAAAAGGCTCCTCTGTTCGTGTGCCGATGCACCGTTCCAAACAAGCGCGTGCCATTCCGTTGCTGAGTCCCGAGATCGAACCTTCTAAGACGGTACGACATGCAACTCTCTCCGATTCGTCGGGAAAGAAAATGAAAAAACTGTCACTACTTTCTGATCGAACCGTGTCTCGAGCCTGTTTCACCGTTCACCGTCCGACTCGAGATGGTAGAACGCTTCACGTGCGGTTTCGTTGTTCAATGATGCGGGATGCGGATGATCTCGAAAGTCGTTCACTGCTAATTAACGTATTGCGCAGTAGTCGGCCGAAATACCGTCTTTTCTCCGATACTTGCCAATAGAAATCTTCCAAGAACTTTCAACGGTGCTCAAGCAAATTTCTGGGTGGCTTCCCGAGTTGAATTCGTTGACACTTTGCTTGCCGACGAATATTTCATATCGCGCTACAGTGGCAATAACTAAGATTTCGCAACCAAGTTGTAGACTCCGTTTCATTAGCCAGATTATCAAACGATCAACGCCGGTTTAATCGTTCAGCCCATACTTCTTATTCATCCCGGCTATCGAAACGTAAACAGACTTTCGGTCGATAAAATACGAATAAAGAGAAGATTACAGGAATGACAGAGATCGCCGAGACTGTCAGCGAGTCGATATAGAGAGCAGAGAGGATTCGAATCGAATCGAATCGAATCGAAACGAAACGAAGCCTGCGCGCTGATCCGGCGTTTCGTAGGTTGACGCGGTGAAAAACGCGATCAAAGGCGGCCACTTGTTCATCGAATAAACATCACCTCGTCCTCTGAAAGTCCTCGAACGATAACCGGATCGTCGCCTCGACCAACGTTGGGATTTCGGCGCTCTTCTCTGCTCTCCGCTCGAAAGCTCACCCACGAAACGCTTTTCCTTTCTCAATTACGGCTCATTATTCCGCGGAACGACGCCCACTTCGCGAGTGAATCGAATTCAGCGACTGTTCGCCGTACACGCGAACAATACCATTCGAGATCAAAAGGCGAGAACGAAGAATTCATCCGCCGGTTTCGTTCATTCGCTCGGCGAACGGATTTTAGAGGGAATTTCTCGTCTCGGTTACTCTTTTCCATCTCCTTTCACCGAACTGAAACGAACGTGTACCGTCATTCTTTCGCGAACCACCGATCGAGAATTCTTCGTCGCCGCCGTACGTTTGCGACTGTGTTGCGGCGGATGCAACGCTCCACGCATTCGTGCATTCTTTTACTGAAATAAAGAATGACTTTTAAAGTCAGCCTCGCAACTCGGAAACTCCTCTTTAATTTCTATCTATAGTAATGGAATAGAATGGCTAATAAGAAATGTATGCGTTCCATGCATTAGTAACGAATGCAGACACTAATCCGGGGAAGCTTCCGGCAATCCGTGGAGCGGCGCAGCGCCGCGCATCGCGGATACATCGATAATCTCGATTCACGAGCCGAGTGTCAGCTGTTCGATGAGTCGATGTAATTAAGAATCAGTTGCAAAAAAGAGATCATTCCTGCAGGTGTCACTGTACTATGGGCCTTCGTGATCCATGACTGATGGTGGTAGCAGTGATGACAGCGTAGTGAGCAAAAAATTCAGTGGGGCTTCGAGAGGGACGAATCGTTCGTAAGTCTTTGTGGATGAATGCTGTTCAGAGGATGAAAAGAAACTTTCTGATCGCGATCGAAGGCATGCACGGTTGTGGTAGATTCTTTGGGAACGGGAACTCGGGAAACTCGGGAATTCGAATGGAAGAATCGAAAAATGCAGAAAATCTCTGAACCAGCGGCAACGGGAACCCGTAAAATAACCTAACTCTCGATCGATGAAAAAATAATATCGTTCTCGGTACGCCGGGATCGAGTCAATTAGCCGCGCGACGAACGACTCGCCTCGACGGCGAGCGTGCACCGCGATCTCGAAGGGTTCCTCGAATCCTCGTGCTTCGTCGCGTTTCCAGACGTCGGCTTTTCGAAACTGCGATCAATCGCGGTAATAGGAGCCGGGAATCGACGTAACGAGACGCGAGACGAGACGCGCGTCGCTTAGGCGGCCCATGGGGGTGGGGCAGGGCTTTCAAAGGTACGGTTCGACGGTGAAGCTGGTTACGCGAGAAACGGGCTTTCGATAGAGGAAGCGGGTGACGCCGGTCTTCGACAAAGGAGTCGCGCTGGATGCGTGTGCATCGTAATGGGAAACTGGAACGGCTCTCCCGCGCTAGACTGCGCGGGGGTGAGACGGACTCCCGTTGCACAGGGTGTCCCGCTCAACTTCACCGCCCTCAATACCTTTCTTGTCCTTTATTCGATGCGACGACAGATACGTCAAAGTAATTTTTACCGGCGTTTATATTGGGCTCGTCGGAAAATTCCGCCGATGCTGTTTCATCCCCGCGAATTATAATTTATAATTGATCGACGAAACGCGGCTTACTTGGAGAGGAATCCTATTTTTCAATAGTAAACTGCCGACGCGTCCACGATCGATTAATGAATTTTAGGAATTCCTTGTTCTTTCTATGAAAGTGACGCGTCGATCGACTCCGCGATCAAGCTATTTCCGATATTTATTCAGACGTCGACGTGTTTTCTGCACGGTTCCGACGGCCGTGAAATATCGCGACCGGCTGGAAAATTTCGTGCTCGTTACTCGCGAATGGTTGCGAAGCTGCCCTGGCCCTTTCGGCACAGGGCGTATCCAAGAAACGAACCCGAGCCGGAGGACACTTATTGATTTACGGGAGGCAATTGCTCAAGAAGCCCCTTCTCGGCCGTAACGCCGAGATCTCGAGCCTCTCTCCACGGACGCTCTCGAATCTCGAGGGCTTACCGCGAACCACCAAACTACCCCGTCGATATTATAATGTTCCGCTGTTCCCGGCCGCAATACGTGGACGCAATAGGCAACACCGCGACCTGCTCCGCGACCCCGGCTCCGAATGTCGCCTTAAATCGGACTTAATCCCGGCCGTCCATCCCCTCGCGTCGTGACTCGACTCGTAATTGTTGTTTTTCTTCGCGGAAGGAGTCGCAAGGAGAGGATGTTCGTAGTTCGGAGTTCATCTATCGATACCTATACGTAATTTTTAATAAATTGGAGGAATATTCCGATTTCCTTCGACGAACCGTGATTCGTTGGTGAAAGGGCGTCAAGGACGTGGCAGGTTTTCCTTTCGACGCCGCGAATCGAAAAGAGACAACCCCGGGGAACGGTTCATCCGAGACGATAACGAAAAAAATTGTCGAAGGGACGGTCGGCGCGGAAGCGGAAGGGCTTGGGCGGAGGGCGGGGGCTGATTCAGCGAGGAAATGGAGGAGAAGAAAGCGATAAAGCCGACGGCGAAGGTGGGGCAGGAGTGGAGGCCGGGGGCGGGTCGGACACGTGTACCGATACGATTACATAAAAATTAAATAACGAGGTGTTGGATGTTCCGATCGATGAGACGAGAAGCGTGTTCGGTAAGAGAAAGGTGGTCGGATTTGCGAGCAGCACTGTAAAGATGCAATACAAGAAACGTGTGAATAAGAGAAAAACGGTCTGTCTTGGTAGTAGAAGGGTGAAAGATTACGCCAGTGGTACTAGTAGTGGTGGTAGCAGTAGTTGTAGTAGTGGTAGTGGTAGTGGTAGTGGTAGTGGTAGTGGTAGTGGTAGTGACAGTGGTAGTGGTAGTGGTTAGTGGTTAGTGGTAGTGGTAGCAGTAGTAATAGTAAAGAAAGGAAAGAATAGATAGATAAAAAAGAAACGATAGAGAGAGAACGTAACATTCCAAGAAAACTGCGACAAACTGTAAATACTGGGAAGATCGAAAAAAGTAGCGTGCTCAACTCTATCAAGCACTAAGTTCTCCACCATGTCACCAAATAAACGAAACTTCGGAACTGAAAAACGATCGGACAGGTGATCGGGCTTGGAAAATTCGGATCAACGGAGCGGAAGAGTTCTCGCGAGACGAAAGGAAACGGACCGAGGTAGGAGGGAAACCGTGCTTCTCAAGGATCAAAGGGGAACAATAAGAGGAACAAGGGGACTAATTAAGAGTAACAAATAGCATAAGAGTAGAAGAAGAGAACGACGGGATCAAAGAATAGATTGATCGAGTGAGTCAGAAAGATTCGGTTGCACGGTATGTTGTTGGCAAGAAAAGATATTGTCGACAGGACGAGTGAGAGAACGGTTGACAAAAGTTAGTTGATCGAGTTGACAAAAGTTGATCCAAGTATCACAAGTTTCATAAAAACAGTTTCTCTAAGTTAAAAAGAAAACGAAAACGTAAGTGTGTGTTCGTTTGTTTGGCGGGCATTAACTAGAGTCTTAAGTGAAAGTGAGTACATCATACGTCATGTCACCATAGCCCACGGTCGTCATCGTGACAACGGCCCACCAGAACGCGTCCGGAATGGACTTGAAGAACGAATTCTCGGAGCCGGCCTCCGCGAAGTATACCGCCGATGAGAATAGCACCACACCTGCAATGCAAGGAAGAAAACACCGGTTCAGTGGGTTTAACGCCCCCGGTGGCTCTGTACCTCATGTCCCCGTAGCCCACGGTCGTCATCGTGACCACCGCCCACCAGAACGCGTCCGGTATCGATTTGAAGAAGCTGTCCTGCGTGCCCGCCTCCGCGAAGTATACCGCCGACGAGAACAGCACCACACCTGGAACGCACACAAGAGGAACACACGCTTCAAGACACGCTATTTTAGCGAGCCCTAACTCTCGTTTCTCACTTTCTTTCTTTCTTTCTTTCTTTCTTTCTTTCTCTCTCTCTCAACCTCTCTCCTCTCTCTCTCTCTCGCTCTATCTTTCTCTCTCTCTCCTGTTCGCTCCTTCGCTTTCTTCCTTTTCCCTCTCTCTCCCTATGTAAGCTTGTCCTCGTTGGTCTCTTTTTCCAAAAATAGTGCAGCTCTCTATTCTCTCTATTATCTTCCTATACGAAAAACAGTAGAGTTCCGTCTCTCTTCTCCTATCTGTATTTTTCCTCGACAGCCTCTTCTCCCGAATTCTCTTTTCGCGTGCGTATATTTATCTTGGACAGTTTTTCGCTTCGAAGATCCATTCTTCTTTGCTGGTTTCTTCTGTCTAAGATCGCGTAGATATTTCTTTCTTTTTCCATGTATATTTTCTTTCGCTGGTTTCCTTCGAAGATCGCGTAGTCGTTTTTTGCGAAGGTTACCGATCGCCTCGCGATCTATCGATTCGTTCTCCGGCCACCTGCGCCACCTCCAATGTGATTATAGGAGTCCTCGTCCCTTCCCCCGGCTTTCGTGCAAGGAAACGTCGTCGATCCAGAGAAATCGACGGTTTTATGGGGCCCGTTCCATTACGATGATTGGACCCGGACCATTCCCTTGGAAATGGTCGGAGGATATCCTCTCCGGGTATACGTTGCTTTGGGTTGTCTAGGTCTTTCTTGGACGAGGACCTCTACCGAGCGAACGTTATTTTTCGCTGCCTCTTTTTCGTAGGAATTTCATATATTTGCCTTCTGTTTAATCGACGATGCGCTTGCCAATTTCCTGGGTGCGTCGACTATCGGGTTATCTCAACGTTATTTGAACAACGCGTTCTACGGTGCAGCGACGAAGCAAAATTTATAGTTGAACTGTTTTTCAAATAAACGACACTGAAAGATCGTCGAAGAACAATTTTGGAAACGTCAAACGTTCAGTTGCAATTTCCAATGAGGCGAAGGAAGCAACCGAGAGAAACGAGGGAACAGATATAACGCGCAAAAAGCAAACAAGAAATCGCGCGGTCGCAGCAATCGACGCGTTAACGAGGGAGCGATTAAAAGCACCCTTTACTCGCGCGCGGAGCATTAAAGAAGAGGTTGGCAAGGACATCGCCGGAAACATCGGCGGGAGCCGAATTAAGAATCGATAGTCGAACGGCGCGGTTGTAAATCTGTCGGAGACTGCGAGACTCTCCCCAGCGGCGAGGTGTTCGACGGAGAAGCGAAACGAGGCGGCCGGGAGAACCGCAGAGGCGCCATTATCAAGCTCCCGATAGGAGAACAATGCGAGCCAATGATTCCGCAATCTCCGAAACGCGCCGCTTTATCTTCGCGCGGCATCGAGCGGGCGCACAATCGAATTCAAAGTATCCGATCTGTCGGTCGTCCTTCGGACATTAAAATTCATCGTTGTCGCGGGACTCCGAAGATGGACAGCGGCGGTCGGTGCACTCCGATAGGAATCGCGCTAGATTCCCGTGGAATCGGGAGGAGAAAGAGAATCGACTGAAAGGTTTGCCGGCGACGGGAGAGCTGATAGTTTGCTGGCAGATTATACTCGGATCAATCGAGTGACGACACCTCTCTCGGATTCTTTCCCTTTAAGCCGCTTTAATCGGTGTTTGCCGAAGATCGCTGTTCTCTTTGGCGAAGAATCATCGAATACAGGCAGCACGACTCTCGCCGAGCGGACTGGTGGTTAGTTTCTCGGAAGTAATCTTCTCCCGGCGATTGTACAGAGCCACGGAGGTCTATCGTCGTGGCTCGACGAGGTGATACGTCGGTTCTCGTTATCCGCAGCAGTCCCGCGAGACCGCCGTTGATCGCTGGCTCGAGTAAGTACGCGCGGGTAGGCGAAGAAACATTGAAACACAGGTGAAGAAAGATACATGGTGGCAGAGGTACAAGATAAAAGATAAAAGACAAAAGAAAAACGAAACAAGTAGAATCGGGAGAATCAGAGAAAGCCCACTCACCGATGAAGAGGAAAAAGATGAGTAAGCCGAGCTCCCTCATGGAGGCCTTGAGCGTGCGGCCGAGGATCTGAAGGCCTTTACTGTGCCTGGACAGCTTGAATATCCGGAACACCCTGACAAGCCTGATGACCCTGAGTATCGCCAGGGACATGGCCTGGTTCGTGCTCTTGTCCTGCGGGCTTACCGGCGCCTTCGGCAGATCGATCGTCTCCTCCTCCTCGGCCATCACGGTGCCGAGGGTGATGAAGTAGGGAATGATCGCGATGATGTCGATGAAGTTCATTACGTCACGGAAGAAGTTCAGTTTGTTTGGACAGGCGAGGAAGCGCACCGATAACTCAAACGTGAACCAGATGATACAAATAGTCTCTATTAGGAAGAACGGGTCCGTGATGTCCGGCACTTCGTCCTCCTCGATCTTCGTGCCGTTCGTCGTCGTGTTGAAGACCTTGTAGTGCTTGAACTCGGGCAGGGTCTCCAGGCAGAATATCACGATCGACAGGAGGATCACGCACACGGATATTATGGCGACCACCCGGGCGCCCTGCGAACTCTCCGGGTACTCGAACAGCAGCCAGACCTTCCTCTGGAGCTCGTGCGTCGGCAGCGGCTTCTCCTCCTCCTTGATGAACCCTTCGTCCTCCCTGCGACAATCAGTGCACCCTTTAGATTTTAGACGATCGCTCACGATTCTATTCATCGTTTTCAGCAATTTTACCAATTTATTTGTTTTCCGCTGACAACGATAAAACTTTCATTATTCTCTCGAGAGACGAATCGCGTCGTATTTTTATACGCGTCTACGTAGAGAATTTAGAGCCTCTCCGCTTCCAGGGCTAACAAAATGGAACACGCCAAGAGTGCCGCACTCGAGTTAGCGTTACAAAGAAGCAATCAACTTAATTGTTACCTTCTACTGTTCTTTAATACTTTTATTCCGCAAGAAAAACTCGAGGATATCCCTTTGCACAGCCCCCGGACAATGCAACGACGCCATTTCGCGAATGAAGATGGTAATTTCCGGCAGCCGCGGAAGCGGAAACAGCCGGCGCGAGCCGGGCAACGCGTAAAACGTCGCATCGTCTTCGAGAGAGATGTTTATTCGTTCGTTTAGAAATCGGCAGTCGGTTCTGGTATCGCGTTTATCGTTTCCTCTGAAAACCGCCTTCGTACGTGGATACGCGAAATGATCCGTATCGTCGTGGAGCGATAGAGG